GGATGTCTTCCTGAAAGAATTGAAGACAGCATATGACAGTGATACCTGCATATCCATGCCTAAGGCAGCACAATTCATAATAGCTACATCTTGAAAGCTGCCTACATATCCATCATCAGATAAATGGATAAAGAACATGCAGTATTTATACACAGTAAAGTACTACTCTACCATAAAAAAGGAAAAAGGGGTCATTTGAAGGAAAATGGGGTGTTTTGAGACTATAGTGTGAAATGCAATAAATCACATAGCTTACGTATTGCATGGTTTCTCTCTTATGGGAATTTTAAAGTATAAATAAAGACCAGAATAAAAGACATAAAAACAAAACAAAGAGACAGATCTTTGGCCAATGTGAAGGAACCAAACAGTAAAGGGTGAGAGGAGATGGGGAGAGAAAGGAGACATAAAATAATTAAGGTATGTTGTGTACATGTACCAGCCAACCACGATGAATGTAATCATGACATGCCACAAACACACGAAGAAAAAGATGAAAATGGGAGGAGGGGATCTAGAGACAGAGAGGGAAAAGAGAATGGAAGGGAATGTGAATAAAAAGAATCAAGCTACACTAAATATATGTACCTACTACACAAAATGGATGTAAACATTATATATAGCAAACATGCACTAATAAAAATAAATAAAAATAAGATTTAAATTCCATATAACTGGAAGCGTTCAAGTACACATGAACCAAATACTTGACCCAGATAAGTGCTTTGGTTTGATTTCTGCTGCAGTATGCCCCAATACCATGAGCTAGGTAAGTTACAAAGAAGTTTATTTTAGCTCACAAAGGGTTCTGACCCAAGGTTGAGGGATCACACCTGGTATGATCTACTTGCTAACCAAATCCCACAGTGATAAAAGAGACAGAAAGCACATGTATGCACCCTCTGGTCTTTTTCTTTTCTTATAAAATTATGAGCAAGGGTTCTATCCTGATGACCTTCTCTAATCCTAATCAGCACCCAATAGTGCCCCCTCTAAACTCAATAATCAGGTTAGAGTTCCACTCTCTTAGCTTCACAAGCATGTTTCAGTGGGGACAAACCATAACCAAATCAAGCAGATACTAAAAGATTTGCATGCCTCTATAATATTTAATTAATGCCCTTTGATTAAGGCCACATTATTGTCCTCTGATAATTTTACCATGAGACTCTTACCAATAAAATTTGAAAATTTCTGAGTGTCCTTCAGAGCCTTCATACAGTCTTTAACATTCACCATGTCATCTTCTAGAAAGAAAAGAGGGAAGTAAAAACAAGAACTCCTGGACAAGATAATATTAAGAAGCTTATATAAATATTAACATAAATTTTATATATTGCTTGAACATTTTATTTACAAAGTATTGTAGATTCATTTCCATGCATTTTGCTTTATCATAATCCTACATGTTTATAGACATGTTACACACAATTCTACCTGTATTGGAACCAAAACAGAAAAAAAAGTCTAGTGACTTCATTTGGCCAAAAAATAGTAAAATTAGCACTTCTGTACAGAACTTGAATTATTAGGCTGTTCTTCATCACTAACTAAAAATATCAGAGGGGAAAGGATTTCAATAACCCTACTCTTCACAAAATTTAGAATGGTTTGTCAAAAATATTCCTTATAGCTGCAAAAGAGAAAAATAAAATATAAAAGTTCCTTTTCAATGATAATGTTTGCAGCAACATAAGCAAATATTTACAGTCTCTGCACACCTTTTAAAATAGATACTCCTACAAAACAACAACAACAATAAACAATCCAAGAGGAAGACTCAATTGCTTACCAGAAACAAACTTTGATTGAGTAATATTCTCTATGGCTTCTTTAGGTGACTGAATCCCAACATTCCTTAGAAAGTCTTCCAAATTCTTCCCAGCTATCATGTTGCCTTCAAGTGAATCAAGGGCTAAGGCAATCTTCTCTAACTCTAGAAATAAAGAAATAAGTTTGATAATTAAACATCCGATTTAAAAAACAGCAGAACCCATCACTGAAGACTTTTGTCAGTGGCAGCCCATGGGGTATTGTTATTACACCTTGAATTTAGGAACAAGAGACTTCAGAGAGTAACTATGATGTTTAAACTCAATTGTCAAATTGATTGGTTGGGAATTGATAAAGCACACTTTTGTGTCTGGGCAGGTCACAGAGGTGTCACCTTGAGATCTGTATCTAGTCTATGGCCCCTTCCTCTCTGGAGCTCTTTTGAACCTACTCTACTTCCAAGTGGCTATGAACTGAGAAGTTTGGCTCCACCACATCCTTCTGCCATTATTTTCCAGTCTTTGAGCCAGTCAGTCATGAGGTGAAACTTCTGAAAATATGAGACAAATTAAAGCCCATGTTGTAGATGTTTGGTATTTTGTCCAAGCAACAAGCAAGCTGAAACCTGTAAAATGGTCCCAGAGGATGGGGTCATTATTGTGCCTATCCTATATCTGACCATAGGCAATTCTCAGGGATCAGATCAGAATGCTCATAGGAATGCAAACAGTAAAGGTAAGGATGATGAGCTTTTTGATGAGGACTCTATTGGGAACTGGAATAGAGGTAACACATGTTATAGTCTGTAAAAACTTGCCTACATTTTGCTCATAGTCTGAGACTTTACAGAAGGTTGAGTTTAAGGTCAATGAACTAATCTTGCAGAAGAAATTTCAAAGTAGACCAACATTCAGGTTGTGACATAGGTATTGCTGCCTGATTTAAGCCATATTTATAGTGAAAATGAGGAACAAAAACAGATCAAAAATATTTTTAAAACTTAAATTTTGGCCCAAATAGAAACATGTGCAAAGTTGGAACAAAAGAAGTATAGCTGTTGAAGAGATTAGTGCCATTTAAAAGCAAAAACCAAGTTTTATATTTGGAGTGAACAAAAAGAAAGATGCCTTGAGAGTATCTCAGGAAACAGCAAAACCCTACCTAGGACTGGCCTAAGGATACAAAAATGAAATCCTTCCTTTGAAGAGAGAATACCTGGGCCTCTTGCTTAAGAAAGACTGCCTAGGAAATTGTTTCCCAGGATTCATTTCACCATGATCAACCATCCAGACACTGAGAGAGTATTGCTGCCTCAGTACAAGGCAGGAGACGCTACTGCTCAGCTGATAGAAGACCTCTGCATCATCCAGGTGATACTGGTCATTCAGGCAGGCGGAATGCAAGAACTGTATGGTCGTTCCTTCTACCCACGTTTCAATGGAAGGCCTGGGAGACTATGCAATGTGCCCCTGAGAGGGGGCTGTGTAAAGCTTTGGGAGTATTCAGAGATTATTCACATGTAGTCCAACAAATTGAGATGGAAGACCTGCCCTGCTGTAGGCAACACCACCCAATAGGTTTGAAGCCCAGATGGAATGAAAAAGAAAAAAGAGAAAATTAGCCTATATTTGAAAAGCTCCATTCTGTTTGAGCAGGTACATCTTTTGTTATTGTTATTGCCTGCAGATATGGGTCCAATTTCTTCAACCTTTGCATGTGGACTTCTACTGGTGAGTCTCCAGGGAGCTTCCAGGCCTTCAGTCTTGAACTCATGCTGCATACTTGAGTTTTCTTGCTCTATGGCTTCCCTTTTCTCGGATAGAGCAGCTACTGGATCCTCTGGCTCTCCAGCAAGCAGGCAGACAATCATTGTGAACTATTCTCTGATGCTGTAAGCCTAGCTAATCAATCCCTTTAGATAGATAGATAGATAGATAGATAGATAGATAGATAGATAGATAGATAAGTGGTAAAATATGCAGCATGGAATTCTCTGAAGTTTTAATTACTACATTTTATAAGGTTCTCTAGACAAATATTCTGTTGATTGATTCTGTTCCTCTAGTGAGCCCTAACCAACAGTAACCAGCATTCAGAAAATTCTGTGGTCAGCCTTACAGTGTGTGAAGAGTTCTAGGTTACTCATGTTTCTCGGGTGTTGATATAAAATTGGCACAATCAAAATCCTTAATATATAAGTGAATTTTTCACTGCAATTATAGAAAATAGATTTTCATAGAATTCTAATGATGGTAAACAAAATTAGATCATCCAGATAGAGGTAAAATAAATTTTAGAAGCTTCAAAAATGTAAAATATAAAACAAGAATTTATACATCTTGGATTTTCAATTTAAGAAACATTCAGTTGTAGCCTAACATCTGGAATCTAGCTTCATTTTCAATGTTGTTTCAATCATAATTAATATTAAAACCAATAATTTGATCACAGGAGCCTCAGTGAGCCTCGGTGAACCAGGCAGGAGGGGAAAAACCCTGCCCACCACCCCTCCAGCCTTGAGGGAGCTTCAGTGAGTCTCAGTGAGCCATGTAAGAGGGGAGAAATCCCATCCACTGCCTCTACACCATCACGGGAGCCTCAGTCCAGAGGAACTCTGGTGCCTGGCCCATAACCATACATGGTGGGACAGGCAGCCAGTGTGGAAATGCCCAGGACATGGCAACCAGCTCATCTGGAGGAAGCCACAGTAAATCCACTCTAACAAGGGGAAATTCTTTGCATACAAAATCCTAATTTAACAGACCAGTTCTGTATAAAATAGACTTTGTTCATATGACCTAAAGTACAAAAACAATAGTAACCACAGTTGGTCAGTTTCTAAATTGTGCTTGATGCTATCAATATTACTAATTGTACACCTGTAAGTAGGATGTCATATCCGTTGTGGTGAGTTGTCCTCATTATATAACAATACTGGGAAGCTCTGGCATAACAACATCACTGCAGCTGTATTCCACAAGACTGAGGACTGAGTCAAACAGAAATCAATATCTTACTCTCAATGAATTGGGAAGGCAGAATCTTGGAACAGACACAAACCAAGAATCTCCTACACCCAAAATACATCCCTGAACTAAGGACTTTTCCTGGGGAGGACTTAATATTAGTGATATAACTACCTACTACAAAAACTCACAAAGATCATCACAGAAAACAAAAATTTTTTGAAATGAAAAATGTTAAGACAAAGGAGCAAAATGCATTCTCAGACCTCTAGCCCACCCAGAACAAGTCCAGGAGACACTGACATAGAATAAATGCGAAGTGACATACCTGAAATTTCTCAAATGATTGCAACAGAACTACAGAAACTACTCCATCAGGCTATCGAATAAATCAGATCAGAAATAATCTCTCAGGTTAAAAAAAATGACAATCATAATGAAAGAATTGCTCAGTATATTTAAAGAAGACATAGATTAAAAAAAATAGAGATGCCTAGAAAAATTATGGAAACCTGGAATGAACAATATAAGAAATAATTAGAATGCATGAAACAGATTCAAAGTGATATTCCAGATATTCAAAATTCCACACAAAGCTGGGAGAACTGCTTGAATGAAACTGAAGATAGACTTTCAGACCTTGATGACAGGATTGCAGCTAGAGATCATGAAAGGAAAGATCTCTTTAAAATAACAAGGAACCAGGAAATAATTCAACAGGTGCATGATGATGGATAGAAAAACATCCATGATGGATAGAAAAATATACGACTCATAGATGTCAACAAAAAAGCAGCAGTCAACACAAATGACATAAAAAGACTATTTGCAAAACTAATCACACAAAATTTGCCAAGCATGGGAAAAGAATCTGACATACAGTTAAGTGAGACATCTAGAACTCCAATTAGCCTTAACCAAAATAAATCTACACTCCAATATATAATAATCAAGATCCCAGAAGTGCAGCACAAGAACAAACTATTAAAAGCTATTATAGAAAAGAAACAGATCATCTCTAAAGGAAAGCCCATCAGAATCATGACAGACTTCTCAAAACAAACCTTCAACTCAAGAACTTGGAGTAAAGTATTTCAGGTCATGAAAGAAAACAATTTCCAACCCAGGTTAATGAACCCTGCAAAACTATCTTTTGAAATTAATGGAGAAGTAAGATAGTATGTCCATGACAAAAAAAAATGAAGAAATTCATGACCATCAAACCAACTCTACAAAGAATACTGAAAGATATTCTAGACAGAGATAAAAAAATGACAACATTTCCAAGAACAACAGTAGAAAGAAACCATCAGGCAGGGAAAGCAATTAAACAGAGGGGGAAAGTAAGGAATTCTTACATCAGGAAAACAGAATGAGCAAAAATCAACAACCTAATCCTTCACCTTAAACTTCTAGAACAAGAAGAGCAAGTCAAACCCAAAGCCCAAAAAAGGGAAGAAATTATAACAGAGCAGAAATTAGCATAATTGAGACTAATAAAACAATACAAAGAATTAATGAATTAAAGAGTTGGTTCTTTGAAAGAATAAATTGATAAACCCCTAGCCAAACTTATCAAAAAAAGGAAAGACAAAAACTCAAATTAATGCAATAAGGAATAAAAAGGATCAAGTCACTACAAAGCCTATGGAAATTCAGAAGATCA